TCCTTTTACCCTTTGTGTCACAGTCTCCCATTTGGTCCCCTAGGGGAGTGTCCACCAGGTGGGAGACCTGCATAAAAGCCGGGCAGTTAGCCCCAGTAAATCAGTTCCTGCTTAATCCTCAAAGTGAAGTGTCGTCTCATTATTGGGGGAGGATTTACTGTATGCTGTTAGAGACTGATTGCCAGGAGTGTAAGCCACTTGGGGGCTTTTCCTGTTCGTCTGCTAGTAGCTATTCGTGTGTCTCCAGTTCGGGAGTTTCGAGTATTCCCTTGGTTGCAGTTCGGGAGTTGGTGAATTCGTGGGTTTGCAGTTCAGGAGATTGGTGCTTGCAGTAGCTGTTGGTGCAGCTGAAAAAGGGGAATATCGCCTAAACGGTTTTTAACCTCTTTTGGGCAAAACGGTCCGTTACAGTCTTTTTTCTTGTTTTTGACCTTTCTTCTCTGTTTTGGTAAGAGCTTTATTGTCTTCCTTTTTTCTGGTCGACATATGTCATTAATGAATCTATTTACAATACTTTTGGTGCAGTTTGCAAAGTGCTGGGTAGTCAGAGTGATCAGCAGGTCAATAAAGAACTTTTTTAGACCACTCATGCCTTATAATGCTTTGAAAAGGCCGAGGGGAAAGATACAGGGGGAGCAAGCAAATTTGGGTGATTTATATGAGAGCAAGGAGCAGGAGGCTGTAGCTTTATTTACAGCTATATAACAGTATTCTCTTTTTCTCTCTCTTTCTTCTTTTACCCATTTACCCCCTCCCCCCCTTCTTCACTTCTTTCCCTTTCTCCCTTCAGTGCTACATCCAGGTCATTTATAAGCCTTACTCACACCTGACCCTTATTATTGCCACCTTTTCCTTCAGCAGTCCGGTAAGCGTCTAGGCCCCTCTCACAGCAATGAACAGGCTGAGGTGACCCCCACAATATTGCTGCTCCAGTAGCCAAAGAGAGGGTAGAATCTCACAGCAGATTATCCTACGTGAGCTACTGGTTGTCAGCTGTTTGGAGCAGAAATCTCGAGCCGGAATCCCGTTCAGCGTCTCTTCTAACGAAAGCTTCTCCATTCTCTCCGACCCACCAATCTCCAACTCCTCCCCTCCTGACGTGCGCATTACGTCATCACGTCCCTTTTGTTTTTGCCCCCATTTCTCATGAGCTGAACTAAAAAGTTAATGACTTTTTCTTTGTACACAAAATTACCTATTTCTGTCAAATATTGTTCACAAAGCCGTCTAAATCTGTGTTAGTGAGCACTTTCCTTTGCCGAGATAATCCATCCAGCTCACAGGTGTGGCATACCAAGATGCTGATTAGACAGCATGATTATTGCAAAGGTGTGCCTTAGGCTGGCCACAATAAAAGGCCACTCTAAAAAGTGCAGTTTTATTACACAGCACAATGCCACAGATTTTTGCAAGTTTTGAAGGAGCGTGCAGTTGGCATGCTGACTGCAGGAATGTCCACCAGAGCTGTTGCCTGTTAATTGAACGTTCATTTCTCTACCATAAGCAGTCTCCAAAGGCATTTCAGATAATTTGGCAGTACGTCCAACCGGCCTCACAAACGCAGATCACGTGTAACCACACCAGCCGAAGAACTCTACATCCAGCATCTTCACCTCCAAGATTGTCTGAGACCAGCCACCCGAACAGCTGCTGCAACAATCAGCTTGCATATCCAAAGAATTTCTGCACAAACTGTCAGAAACCTTCTCAGGGAAGCTCATCTGCATGAGATACCATGACGAGATCCTGAGGCCATTGTTGTGCCATTCATCCACGACAATCACATTATGTTGCAGTATGATAATGCCCGGCCCCATGTTGCAAGGATCTATACACAATTCCTGGAAGCTGAAAACATCCCAGTTCTTGCATGGCCAGCATACTCACCGGACATGTCACCCATTGAGCATGTTTGGAATGCTCTGAATCGGCGTATACAACAGCGTATTCCTGGTCCTGCCAACTTCGCATAGCTATTGAAGAGAAGTAGACCAATATTCCACAGGCCACAATCAAAAACCTGATCAACTCTATGCAAAAGAGATGTGTTGCATTGCAGGTAGCAAATGGTGGTCACAGCAGATACTGACTGGTGTATCGATACCCAGTTTTTTCATCTTTTCTGTTTACATATTGTAAGAAAACCCAGAATTTCCAAGACTTTTTCGAACAATATTTTGTATATTTTACCCAAATGAAACCGTCAATTAAGCGCTCTCCCTGTGTGGCCATCTTGTTTGCACAAAAGGAGACAGCGGGACTTGGTCGTTGAGTGTCGAACTAAAATCGGACACTCGACTTCTCGAACACCGGTCAAACTATACGAATGCCCGCTTCCTTTTCCCGAACAGCTAGGAGACCGCTGTTCAGTAGTTTGGTTCCCACGAACCAGGAGGTTCCATTCGTGCATTAGTTAGTTTTTGTAACTTGTCGAAATAGACCGTGTGCAGTCGGTCCAAATGGGACCTCCATGAAATTCGAAAACCCCTGAACTGATCTG